CCCAAAGCTGAGATTAGTGGTACAAAGGGGTCTGCCATCTCTATCAATCAATCAATCAATCAAGTTTTTCTCTTTGGTTTTGTAAAAAACAATAAATAAGTTGACTGAAGGTAAATTAAAAGAAGAACATTCTTTAGTTTATCTTTTGCTTTTATGCTCTTATATTTACTAATATTAATTTTTTATTTTAATATTTACTTGTATAGTTTTACCAAGTAAATTGTATTAAAATTTTATATAATTAAAATATTCATATAATTTTTATTGGAATTATTTAATTCATGAATTTATTTAACAAAAAATATTTATTTATGTCGTTTTATTTATTTAGATGATCTAATTTTATTCGGAAAAAAAAAAAATGGAAGTGAAAAATTTGTTTAAATTATTAAGAATTTGGAAAGGTTTCAAGAGAAGACATACAGAATCAAGGATGTATAACGGCTAGGGAATCTGTTTCTTATTTAATTAAGCCTCGTGCCAGACGTATTAAATTAGACACGTACATCTGAGAAACACATATACCCATGAGAATGTAAACTATAACATGCTTTGTTAAAATTAATTAAAATTTATTCAATATATTTTATTCTTTGAAAACCCACCACAACAACAACAAAAAAGTTAACTAATGGTAATTTAATTATTGATAAGCTGAAAATAATTAAAACATATTCAAATAATATTTTAGTCATATAATAAGAGCATAAACCAGTTGTCAATGGTAAATTTTGACATTACCTACATCATAATGGTATATATATACATATCCACAGAGACCAAATTGGGTATATTAAGACACTACCAAGTGAGCAGAGCAGAGCAGAGAATATATATATATATGTATATGTATATATATCACTTCCCCAATTAGCGCCTCAGTGTCATTTGTGAACTTTGTTACAAATTAAAAAGTCAGGGCAGTTAAAAGAATGGTCCCGGCGGCATCCAAGTCAATATATGCAACAAATAACAAAACCAATTACTGACATTTGCATATTTATGATTATGGATTCCTTCTTTAGAAAATAAATGACCAAAAAATTCTTATAATAACATTAAAAAAGTTTTAATTACTTGTGTTAATCCAACCATCTCTCGTAAACTGCATTGGGTTTATATATAAACTTCTCTCCACTTTATAAACACATAACAAAAAGACGATGACAGAAAGAAGAGAGCTTCAAAAAAAAAAACCAGCTTAAGTTAAGCAAACTATGCCTGCTAATAAATTACTCACTCTTTAACTATATATATATATATTTTTTTTTCCTTTTTCAAATTAAACTTGTCACACTAAAACCCAATATCCAAACACCTGTTTCATCGTCGATCAAAACGACATGATCCAACTTCTACTTTCGAGCTTACAACGGATCTATTTCGGTTATCATAATGGAGCTCCGAACCACATGTTTCCCATCGGACCAACTTATTGACCCGAACAGAGCACCCGATTGTCCCAGCGCTATGTTCTTCGTGTTCGTCGTTACTGTCACCATGAAGCTCTGTTTCCTCACCGTCGGCGCGAAAACTAGCTTCGCCGGCTTTACTGTTATTATTACTCCCCTGGGCGACTCGATGGTTGCACGGTAAACGGCGTTGGATGGACCCACGTTAGTCACTGTCCTGAAGAACCTCTTGCTTTTTGGTCCCTTTGAGGAGGTTGAGAACAATGCCGCCAATGATGGGTAGTTGAGGTTCTCGGGGAGTGGTTTTTTCCAAGGACAGCTGACGGGTGATCGACTGATCACCTGAATTAACTTTGGGCCGTAACCGATTGCGCATAGAAAGTTGACGTAGTCGTTGCTGGTGATGTCGTAGACGAGTCCTGGATCCATTGCTCTTCCGAGATTGAGATGCCCGGCACCAAAATCGTACGGGGTTGATGACTTTCCGGTGGATTCGTCGATCATGGATTGATTCCGGTTGTCCACAACATTTGCAGTGGTCATCATTGCGGATCGTATAGCCGCTGGGCTCCAATCAGGGTACGCTGATTTGAGCAAAGCTGCCGCGCCACTAACATGAGGACAAGCCATTGAAGTACCTGAGAGAATGTTAAATTCTGTTCTACGCATATCAGAATCCAATCCAGTTGGCCCAACCGCCTCCGTCCAAGCAGCCAGAATGTTGACACCAGGGGCAATCAAGTCGGGTTTTAGAATCTCAGGGTTCAATCCGTTTGGTCCTCTACCGGAAAATGAAGCGATGACCGGCGCTGGCTTGATTCCCAGGACGGTTCCTACGAAATTGATGGTGGCTGTTGGGTTTTTACTGGATGAAGCATAGGCTTTCAGTGCGTCTCCTTCCTCGGACCCGACTGCACAGGCGGGGATCAGATGAGCGTCACCCACCAACCCTTCCCCGTTGGAAATTCCATTGGCGAGAATCATCCCTACACCACCAGCTTTCTTCACCACCAAACCTTTGGCCACTCTGGGGCTACTCCCCCGATCACATATTACGATTTTACCTCGAACTATGTTAGGATCAAGTGAATGCTCCATGCAAAGAGAAGCAGAGAGCGCCCCTGTTCTACCAGGATAAACAATAGGGAACATTTTTCCATTCAGTGGCGCGCCGGCGTACAAGGACACACCGGAGATCTTCCGTCCGTCTGCTAGGATAACGGTTGCAGGGAAATTACGGTCGATGGTCCCAGCACCAACTGTCACGAGCCATGGGGCGAGGTTTGTCACCGACATAGCATTAGGCCCATCGTTGCCAGCTGAAGAAGACACGAATACCCCCTTCGAAACGGCGCCGTACGCACCGATTGCAATTGGATCCAGATAGTACGGCGATGATACGCCATCACCGCCTCCTATGGATATCGAGATGACGTCAACGCCGTCGGAAACGGCGGTGTCAAAGGCGGCTAGAATGTCAGAGTCGAAACAGCCAGCACCCTTCCAGCACACCTTGTACGCCGCTAGTCGCGCCTTTGGCGCCACGCCTTTCGCGATCCCGGAGGCGTACCCGGACATGCTGGCCTTGAAGGCGTACCTGCCGGCGGCGGTAGAGGCGGTATGAGTCCCGTGACCGTCAGCATCTCGAGGAGACCGAAACTCAACCGTGTCATTGATTGCACCAATGGGACCCATCGAACCCCCAGCTTGTTGGCCTTTGGAGAAGAATCTGGCGCCGATTAGCTTCCGGTTGCAATTCTTTGGAGTGAATCTCACTCCACTTTCGCAAGTGCCCTTCCATCGGGCAGGTACCGGCCCAAGGTTGAGGTCCGAAAAGCTTCGGTGCTCGGGCCAGACTCCAGTGTCGAACACGCCGATGATCACATCAGATCCATAGTCGGACTCAGACCAGAGACCGCGCTGGTTGCGGAGCCCCAGGAACTGCGGGGAACGTGTCGTGTGGAGCTCACGACGGTGGTCCTCGAAGACCGCGAGGACCGCAGGATGGTTGCTGAGAGCGTCGGCCTCCTCCGGAGTTAGTGTCGCAGAGAAGCCATGGAAAACGGTGTCGTACACGTGGAGGATCCGAAGCGGGTCGGCGAACTCGGAGCCATACCAGTGGTAGCTTGTGGGGAAGATGGACGGCTTCGATTCGGAGTCGACGCGAAAGATATAAGTTTTCACCGTGGAAACTGCATGAAGCTCCGGAAGAAAATTGGAGAAAATGAAGAAGAAAAACAGTAGAAGAAGATGTTTGGAGACGAAGGAAGACATTGAAAGAGAAAGCAGAGTGGAGTGAGTGCTGTTGTGGACAGGGAGAGTAATATATTAGGGAATTTTTTTTTTAATTAAATATTTAATTTATAACGCAATCTTGACCACCAAATCATTTTTTCAATTTTGACAAATTAATTATTAAAAAATAATTAAACAGGAAAGTTTTATTTAAAAAAAATAAAATAAAAAAGAAAAAAGAAATTGTGGTATTATTTAAAGCGAATTATTCCTTGGAAGGGTGCGAGTAGCTTTATCTGCTTTTTCGATGAATACCGTGGGATTTCGATCCAGAAAAAATAAAAGGAAAAAGAAAAAGATGCAATCGTGCAGGTGACGGAACATACTGTAGTGTAGTACTAGAACAAATCATCACCGTCTGTTATTCATCTGCTCAATCAGAGCCGTTGGTTTCTGATGGGGACAGCTGTCGTTCAAAATCCCTCTGTGACTAGTCCGTTAAGCCATTTTCTTTTGTTTCTTTCAACACTACGTGTTCCACCGGATAGAATCCCGTAATATGTTAAATGCCTGTAAAGTGTGAATAGGCTTTTTCCATTACTTGGCTGTTCAAATTTTGCATTTAGACCCACGCGCATTTAAGCGAGTAGACCACAATCGCTACTCGATGCATTGATTTTTATTTTTATTTTAATTTTTAATCATATATTTGTAATGTAAATAAAAACACAAAAAATATTTTTGTAAATAAGTTTTTCAATATATTTAAACAAATTATAAAATATTTTTATATAAGAAAATGCAATAATTACCTATAAATTGAATGTTCGTGTAAAAAATAAATAATAAATAAATTATTTAATATGGAAATTTTACGGTGGTCATGTTTTAAGAATGAGCTCTTCTGTGGTTTCATCTCTATGCATGTTTAGTGAGAGGCTGACCTAACTAATATTCACTCACGCTAATCTATAACCTTCAACCAATTGCTTTGATTTTCAAACGAAAACGAAGTATTATTTTCTTGGTTCTATACAAACAAATCTATAAATAATTGTATTAAAATCATTTTGCAATTATAATTAATTGGTAAAGATTTAGTTGTCAAATAGCCAAGGACTACAACAAAATGGAACGGTGTCGTTTTGTATAAAATTGTCTTCATAATCAATTGACTAAGTTGTCTCATTAATTAACATATAAATTATTTATCGAATTTCACTTTCAATTAAACTAATTTCGTAACCCCAATTAATGCTTTTTAGTTTTCAAACATTATAATTTTATATTTTAAATATTTAAGCGAAAAAAAAATAGGCAATTTGGAAACTCTCTCCTTTCTTTTATTTTACCCAAAAAGTAGGAAATATTATTATTTTATAATCTAGAGGGTGTTTAGATTAGATATTTAGATTTCCTTTTTACTTGCTTGATCCAACGGTGGATGTCAGATATCGAGCATGACGCCATCATTTGACTTGTTCGCGTCTACTACGCTAGTCGCAAAAATGAATGGCTGTGATCTCTTCTGCATCACCGTCGTCGCGTGTGGGAGACATGCGATCATTTCAACCACTTCCGCCAGCGGAGCTTCCGTCTCCTGCCGCTACTAACATTTGTTTTCCATTGTTTTTGTTACATTAAAAATAAATTTTATATTCCAATCTAAAAATAATAAATAATAATTATAAATAAAAAAAAGGATAAACTGTTCATAAATTTTTTACCAGTTCCCCCCCTGGTATCAATTATTTTGCAAACCCAAAATAAAATTGATGTCTTAATTTTATTCTTTTTCGCTATATGGCCAAGCCATCAAGGAAATTTTGCATGTGCCGAGTCCATCATGTCGTTTTGTGAAGTTTGGGTGTGCGAAAAGGGAGCAAAAAGCCGAGGGTTGCGGCATTGATTGGAGTGTTGATTGATTTCTAGAACTGATGGCCCAAAGTTGATAATCTTATCTTAATGGGCCCATAATGCAATTGCAGGCTTTTTGGGGGGTCCATAATAGATTTAGGCCTATTCGATCCTGGCCCTTGGATATACAGGATTTAAAAAGGTTGCACTGATATCGACTGCACCCGATCATAGATGGAAAGAAAATGAAAATGCTGGCTTAGTTTGGCGTCTGTTACGAGAGAAGGCTCCAGAGGAAGAAAGAAAAAGGGAAGGAGAGAGAAGAAACCAGAAGCTGGAGGATAACCAGGGAATTCACGCGCTGATGAAGGTTCTAAAAACTTTTGCGATGAAGAATTGAAGGCGAGTTTCTGGCGTAATTTGTAGAAAGGCAGAGAGGTGAGAATATCGTACTTAGGTTTTGGGAGGCTGAAATCGCATGAGAGAGGGGAAACCTGGAAAGGAGAGCTAGAGCATAGGAGAGAGAACTGAAGAAGGAGAGATTAAACGCCTTTACTCTTTAGAGGACACACTTGGAACGGTCACGACAGTGTGGTTAGTGAATTTCACTTTAAGAGCTTCGTTAATTATTCTAGAAGTGATGGATTGTTTTCAGCAAGATAGTGATTTGGTGACAGTGGTTAAGCAATGTATTTCTCATTCCCATGATCAGTCAGATGGGAAATACAGTCTGCATAAATTTGGTTCCCTCTGATCGTTGGAATTGATTGAAATTTAACATGCGTAACTGTGATTGATGATCTTATTATTTTGAGACTGATTTGTGATTTACACTTATCTGTCAATTGCTTATGGGATAAAAATGTTAGCAACACCAAAATGGAGTTAAAGCTTTCTAGTATTCATGCAAAAATGTTTGTCTATTTAGTATACGAGTTGGATCATCTATTGTATTCAATGGAGGATTTTGGGGACCTTATTGACATCTTGGTAGATATGTAATACTTTGTATACGAGTTGGCACCCCCTTGGTGCTTGTTAATATATTTCGTACTTTTATTTAAAAAAAAAAAACAAGCTTAAATATGTATTTCTCTGAATTTCACTCCTGATTCATTTGTTTGCATTTATATCATTGGGTGCATGTTTTGAATCTAAACTGTGATATGGGATATATTTATGCATGGTGTTCTTTCTAGATTGCTTCAAAGAGATAGGAGATTGTTTTTAGTGCTATGCATGAAAAGCAGTCTAATTAGAAACTAATATGAAAAAGGATTGTTTTATTTGATTGTTAATTGCATACTGATCAGGCTGTACTAATTCCAGATTTCACATTTCCGTCTCTCCTCTGTGTTAAAGATTTCAGTTAGGAGTAAGTTTTGAAAACTTTTATTGTTTGCAGTTCACATCCTGCTTCAGACAATCAATCTACTTGATTTTTTAAGAAAGGTGCTTTGCTTTGTTTATGGTGTTCCTATCTCTTTTCAGTTCAGGACTTCATTCTAATTCTTATTTTGGTGTTAATAGAAGTTTTGTAATTTCAATCCAGTTTATTTAAGCTGGTTATTTTAGCATGTTGCTGACTTGCTTGTCATTTCTGATTACTGCCTGCTAGAACTAGTGTCTTGGGGAATTTTTTATTTTTTTCGAAGGAGAGATGCGTAAGTGTTGATATCTCTGTTTCTCTTCAAGTTACTGTTTGAATCGCATTTATGAATTTCCTTCCTGCTCTAGACTGCTTTGGCTTGAAGATGAAATGATCGCATGCCATACCCCTTGCATTTTGTTCCTCACTTCTGTTTATGCTTTGGATGGGTAAACCATCTTTGCTTTAGATTGATTCATGCATGATTTTAATACTGTAAGTATCAATGAACTTTAATCTTCTTTTGTCATTTTTTAATTCTTTTTTTTAAGCAGTAGCATCTGTAGAATATTAAAACAAGATATATATTCAGATGATTCTTGCTTCACCAATATAATCTTGTACATTTTTGGAACCTGGTTTCTCTTTATAATACTAGTTCATTTCTAATCCTTTGAATGTTTTCTGGAGAGCCTTGATGTCATGAAGTCATGCTCATGACAGTTCAGGCCTTGCGGCTTAGCTTTTATGTGTCCTACTTAATGGATGCATCTGGGATAGGACACTGCTAGTCCCTTTAGGTACTAATTAATTAGTTTATACAGCATAATGGGTGTCCTCCAACTTTTCCAGAGACTTTTTAAATGACCGTACCTCTGCAAATAGAGCAGTAAAAAAGACCTAGAGTGTGCCTTGCTGTCACTTTGACCCTTAATATTGTTTCAATTAGCACCACAACGTATTATGGTAAATTATTTGTCCACATTTTGTCTGCCCGTAGATTTTGGAGGCCACAAAGACAGAAAATGGTGGTGATAGAACCAGAGGACAATGAAGAGGAGACTGTTGTGGAAAATCCACCGAAATCATCATCTTCCAAAAAGACAGGCACAAGAGATGATAAGAAAAAAGCTTCTGCTACTGCAGCCAGTGGTAATGGAGAATCTGATGGGTTTGAGACTGCCAGTGAGCGAGAAATCAGTGAAGACGAAGATGATGATGGAGGTGCTAAACAAGACTCATCTGATCATCAATCATCACAACAACAACAACAGCAGCAGCAAGGACAAGGGCAAGGGAAGGAGCACGAGCAGCAGGTGAAAGGAGGGGACTCCTTTGAAGATGCCTTGAATGAGGATGAGTTGAAACAGGTGAAATATTTCTTTCTATTTGACCATCAGTTTGTCCACTTTTCATTTTTATGTGGTTAATTTTTTCTAGCTTTCAGCTGTGAGTCATGTGGCTGTTAGGGTTTGTGGTTGGAATTCCCAATTAAAGCAGTTACTCTTAGAAATCAATGCTAGACTCTGGCATATGTTGTTGAAACAATAATCTTCTAATTGTTGAAGTAGCAAGGGAAATGGACAGATTTAATTTTATATATATATATATACATGAGTATTGGGGAATAAAAGGGTTATTTGGCTCGCATACTGCCTGGAGATATGTTCTAAGTGAACCTTGGGAGATGTTGTTTTTCTACCCCATTTTCTCACATCCTGACAATATTAAATTTTCTTGCTGATTTTACGGAAAGTTAGGTTACGGTCTCGATTTATGGATCCTGTTATGAGATTTTGTTATTATTATAAGCTCGTTAAGAAAGAGCCCAACGGTTTTTGATTTCTTGCTAATAACATGAGTTTGTTAAGAGAGACTCAATGACTTTTTAAGTTAGAAAGTACTCAATACTTTTTCATAAATTTTTTCTTACCTAAAAATCTGTCAAGAAGACAGTCTATATTTATACAAGAGAATGAGTAATTTATTAAAAGTTATTTTCAGAATTAACTTCTTCTTTATCCTATTCTCCCTAAGACACATGTTCATGCTTAAACATCATTTTACACATAACAGATACTGACCTATTCTCCTAATGCACTTGTCCACCCATTTCCTAATACACCATAACATTACCCATAACAAATTAACATATGTCCTTTCTTTTCTTTCTCATTTATTTTCCCAGTTCCCCCTGCTTCTACTTCCAATTGACTAAGCATCAGTCATTTCAATCCTCCTCCATGGCCCCAATTCCCTCACAGAAAAGATGAACTTGAGTAGTCATAAAATTTCTTTGTTTTGCCTAAATTTATATGCCATGCTGTCTCTTGCGGAGTTACAGTTGGTAGGATATTTCTCAAAAATGAAACAGACAATTAAAAAGATATATATTATCAAGTCTTGTGTTAGGTCTAGTTATGGGTTTGGATGGACGGAAAGGCTCACTGGAGATAATATATAAATGGTCTTTAAGAGAAGCCTTCTAGCTTTGAATTTGGTGTAGGAAAGTCAGATCTTTTCTTAAGACATTTATTCTGCTTTTTCTTCTTTATTCATAGATACTCAGATTGATAAAAAAACTTTGTAGACAAGATAGGATCCTGAAACGTTATGTCCCATGGAATAGATAACTCCTGAACTGCCTTGGTAACTCCCAAACTATCTGGAATTACCTCTTTCCACATCTAACAAAGAAGAATTTAATGCAGAAAATTTAATATATTCTTTTCTTTGTTGTCCATATTGTAAATCTTTTATAAACCTAACCAAGCCTCTTATTTTTGTTACTGGCTTGGCCCAAACATCTTAAATATAGTAAATTTCCCATTGTTTTTTTTTTTTAAATAAAAAAGTAAGTTATATATATATAAACAAGGTACCAAGTGAGGGGGTACCACTCCTTTATAAAGAGAATTTACAATCGTGTTAGTATGTCAATGACATTCACAAAATTCACATAACTAATAATGTCATTGATCTAACAATACTGATCCAAAATAATGTAACCATCTATCTTTTAGTTTGTTAATATTACTGTCAATATTGTCAAAAACTTTACTATTCATCTCCTTCCATATGACCCAAAAAACTGTCAATGGAATCAAGTTTGCAGTTTTATTTTTTACAGATAGCCCATCCCAAGCCCAAATTTCCTTTCTAACAGATCCGGCAATTACCCACTCAATCCCCAATAGTCCATAAATCATACACCACAAACTGTGCACAGTCGGACACCACAAAAGTAGATGATTGCAAGTTTCCTCAGCTTGAAGACAACAGATGCAGCCATTGACCAGGATCCTTCCTCTAATTTCAGTTTATCATTGTCAAAATTTGATCCC